GGGAACAGACTTATCAGGCGACTCAAATTTTTTGCCACTCTGCATATCTGTGAATGACTGCAAAAATGCCATGGGTATTAATTTTGTGGATACAAACAAACTTTAGCAAGCAAATATAGAATCTGCTGAAAATGAGCATCCATGATACTGACTAACAGAGTTTGACACCTCTGCCAAAGAGTAGTATCTTGTCTTCCACAAAGAGGTGTTTATATTTGGGGATCCATAAAAGTGCTCCCATCAAGTCACATTATTTGGTTCAAAATGAGCTTTAGAGAAACAATGAAGTCTCCCACTTACTTGGAACAGAGGGGTCAAGAGTCCACTTTGCATAATCCTTACTTCTGGCATTGTCTGAACAATGCACCCTTGTCTTTTCTGCTCACAATAGAATTGTCTCAGGGCAAGTCGCCTTCTCTGGGAAATGCGGTGGTGATGCTGGTGTTCTGGGGACAAGGGTTCAGATGCAATACTCAGACACCAATTTTGTCCCCCTTCAGCCGCCCCAAGGACTTGAGGATGAGCTTTGGTTCCAAGAGTGTGACTTTTTTGTTCATTTAATTGGGTTGCAGGGGATCTGCAAATGCGCAAGGTTATCTGGGTATTACTGCTGTATTGACACTCAGAATTTTTCCTCCTGTGGACTAACAATGCCTCTTGCCTGCATTTGGCTCTAAGTCCATGTCCCTTAAAGCTTCATTTTCAGAAAACAAAAAGAATGCTGGCTATTTGAACACAGCAAATGACCATGCCGACCTCTGGAGCTCCCTTTGCTGTTTTCTTGTGATTAAAGACAGTGCCTATTCTGTTTAGAATTAGAGTAATAGTCCTACAGAACTGACTGGCAGGTTATAAAAACAGCAGCTATGCTTATCAAAAGATGGGTCTCTGACCCAAAGCTCCAAACTCATTCCATGACTAAATTTTTTTCAGGGTGACCAAGAATCCCACTGATTGCCCTGGAGATGTCCCACCATCATCAATACCATTCTTGCCTGTTCCCAGGTACAGAAGATAGGGCAGGGATTGGTTGGTAGCCTTACAGGGCCATAAAGGTGCACTGACCTCTCTGCTGAGTTTTCCTAACAACGTCAATAGTCCCAGACCACAGCAGAGAGAATGATTTGTACCTTTCAAACACTCTACATACATTTCAAAGCACATCCTGTGCAGTGAGGAGTTAGTGAGCAAACACTTGTACTCTAGTCCACCCTGCCCATCTTCTCACGGACATCTGAAGACCTTGCCTCAGTCCTCGTACTTCTCCATGGTAAATCTGTAGAATCATTTCTTTCCTCACAAAGATGCAGGGAGTACAGTTTGCTCAATGAGGAAGCACATTTTATAACAAGTCAATATGCACAGGATTCATTCTTGGCTCTTCAAAAAGACCATTCAAGAGGTCCAGAGCAGATCTGAGTTTACAGTCTCACCTATAGTCATGGCCTCCATGGCTCCCACACTCCCCTCTTTCCACCATCACACCATCCTTGCCTGCTCCCAGGGGCTCCTGAAGCCCACTGCATAATTTCCCCATCTCCCACTATGCCGGATGAAACGCCAGCCCTGCTGGGAAACTTCCCAGTCACACCCCCATCCCAAATACTAATGAATTCAGTTCTTCCCCTTTCCAGAGCATGTGCTTGAACCTCAATTATTTTTATTATGGCCTGTGATTTAGATAGCTGAATATTTCCGACCCTGCATCTGTGACAGCATTGAGATCAAGGACAGCCCATTTGATCTTTGGACCTGCCCAGGGTACCTGTCATATATGTGCTCTATAAATACACCCCTGGAACAATGTGGAGAGAAAAAAGTTCTGTGGGAAATTACAGAGCAGGGAGAATGGTGACAGACACTTGGGTCTCCAGGGAACGTTAACATTTTCTCCTGTTGTTCTCATGACTTTCTTTATAAGACTTGAGATTTAAAACTCTCAAGGAGTCCCAGCTCCCCTCGCTACCTTCTTCTGGTGGCAAAAAGCCTGGGGCCTGCGTCTAGGTGTGAGGTTGGAAGGGCCCAGGGAAGTAGGTCATTCAGAGTCAGCCCCTCACAATGTGGCCTGGGCTACAGGGACTGGCAGCATCCACCTCCAGGAGTGTGTGGCATGCCAAAAGTGGACTTTGGGAACACACAGGCATGGCTCCCAAGTCCAACCCCTCCTTTTATGGCCTTGGAGGAGTTACCTATTTTCTCTGACCCTCAGGTGCCTTATCTGAAAAATAAGTAGAATGGTCACCTCATGGAGTTGTTAGGAGGGTAAAGGAATAACATCCGTGTTGAGTCCTTGTGAAAGCTGTCTTGTGTCCCTCAGGTGGGTTTACACAATGGCTCTTCTAGACTCAACGCGAGCATGAAGTGCAGCTCACATTTCCAGTCCTCTTTTAACCAAATATGTCATCTCATTCAACGTAAATCTGGTCTTTCAGCAAAAATCTAAAAGGTTCACATGGGCTTCATTCCTTTGCTGACATTTCATGATATAGGGCTTGTCTTTGTTCAGACCCTTGCTGAATGACTGCATCCGTCACTTGAGAATGTCATGAGAGCCACTTCTAAGGCACATCTCAGAGACTAGCTTCTCGGGCCCTCAGCCTCCATCTTATTTTCCACCTCCCTGGCCCTACCTCCTGCACTGGCCCCCTTTGGATCTGGGATTGCTGACTCCTGTAGGCATTACTGTCACAGGGGACTCTTGGCCTCAGGACCTCTCTCCTAGTGGACTTGAGACAGCATACTTTTCTCCGGGCAGGTGGCAGAGCTGACTGGCAAAAATCAAAGTCTTTCAGGAAATACTGGAAGATGGCAGGAGTAACTCTGCACACTGGATAAAGCTGAGAGGATCATGAGGACAAATACGTGTCATCCACCAATGAGACTTTTTTCCTCTTCAATTCCTATTGGAAGTCCTAGAATGGTGTCCTAAGGTACAACTGGGTCAAGCCAAGAGCATCAGTCAGATCAAAGTATATCTGGAAGATGGATCCTCTCAAATGGACCACAAAGTCAAGGCTACAAATCCAAATTCAAGGAGGATGCCCTTTTGCAAGGAAGTAAGCCCACAGGTAGTGTTCTAGAGTCATTGCTTCACCCAAGGACTGTCCTCTTGCACTTCTGTCACATTTCCCATCAGCTACCTCATATCCTACTCCTTTGTGCTTATTACTCAGGCATTCGCAGCCTCCCAAATCAGGTCCATTGATTCTGTGTCATGTCCCTTCTCTCTCCAGCTCAGGGCCTTGGGGCAATCTGCTTGTGCTGTGCCCCTTCCACACATCACATGACTGGCTCACCCTTCAGGGCTCAGCGTCCATGTCACCTTCCCATACATCATCCATACTTCCCTTGTCTGCACCTGCCCGGGGGGCACCCTACATACTTTGACCCCTGCCCAGCTCTCAGCTCCATGAAGACAGGGACTCTTTGTCCACTGCTCTACTTCCGCACATTGCTCATCACCGAAGGAATGGATCACAGCACCTCAGAATACCACCTCGGACACTTGGCTCTGACAGCAAATGGGCAGCCTGCAATCCACCCACCCACGCCCTGCCCCCTGTTCAAATATCAGGCATTCTGACAGGCCAGTGGCTGCAAGGGGCAAGGGCCCCTTAGATGCTGAGGGCTGGGCTATGAATGAGCAGCTCAGAGGTGAAGGACGGTGGCTTCACTTTGGAGCTTCCAAGGAGCAGAACTGGCACACTACACAGCTGCCCTACTTACCCAGCCTCCCTCCCAATGCTTTCTAAACTGTGCCACAGAATTCTGAACACTTATATGCCCTGAAATGCCCAATGGCATCTATCGTCTTCTCAGGGACTAGCAAGTGCCAGTGCTACACTCAGGCCATGAGGACAAACACCACTACTTGAGTGGTGGCAACTGACCTCGGACACCCACGTGCCTTGTTTAGCCTGAGAGGGCAGTGACAACCTCAATATTATGGAATGGAAGAAACCAGATGGCATCAGGGTCCCCAATCCAAGATCTCAGCTTTCACTAGGTGGCTGCAGGGTCAATCAAGATAAACTCTTAAGATGGTTTTTCTCACCCAAACATCAGGGATAACAATGTTCCCTTAATGGGGCTACTGAAAAGACTGAGGTAACAGACATATGCATGGAGTGTACACTTACTAAACTCAACATAAAATGAAAAATGGACCTCAGGTAGCACTTGAGTGAAAGTACATCAAGACACAAAGCGTCTGGCAGAAGAAGAGTTGGTGCTCTTGAAGACCCTGGCTAAAAGTCTGTACTTTCCTAATAAAACAAGAAGTAGCTTATTTCCCAGGTAAGCTCTATCCTTTTTATTTCCGGTCTACAATTCTTAATGACCCTCTTTACTGAATTATTGCTCTTCGAAGAGCCTTTTTATAGCTTTTTTCCTCTGGAGAAAGTTGAAGATGGATAATGTCCGAGTTCTTAAGAATAAGTGATGTGACAAAACCGATGACCCAGTGCACAGACAGGCAGCAGAAGCTCTGTCATCTGCATTGATGACAGATACTCCATGCAGGGCACCCCCTGGGAGGGTAGAAAACTGGTCAAGTCTTTCCAATCACAAGCCCTGAGAAGACTGAGGATAAAATGTAGGTGAGTGTTCCAGGACACAGCCTCGTCTTCACCCATCCCAGAAGCTATGCCACTGCCAGGAGACTACTTCCTCCAAGAGGCCCACCTGTGGCCGAGAGACAGGAGGAGAGGCAGTTGCTAATGGCAAAGAAATGATAGGAAGCAGTGCCAGGGCCCAACTGCCCCAGAACACACATGTCCCTCCACAAAGAGTAGCACTCACCACAATGACAAGTGAGATGCAAGAGGGAAAAAGTTATGGTTCTTGTAGACTGTCCTGTAGCTGCTTTCTGGTCTCTGAACTTCAGCAGGTATATGGTTAATGCCCCCTGCACACTGCTAGGCATTTGTAGCTAGATTGGAGCTGTGAGGTCTTGGGAGGGTGCATCATGCTGGGGGTAAGTGAAGAGACAAAACACTTCCTGCGGTTTCTAAAATCATGTTTATTACTCTGATCAAAAGCTGCCCATATAATACAATAGTATTCAATTTTTACTTCTGCATGGCTATACAGTATGAATGACTAGCTAACAATCCCAGGCATTTTTATAAATGTTGCTCTTCAAAATGGTACTACTGTTTTAAGAGGAAAAGTTCTCACTGACAAAGAAACTACATTAAAGAAAACTAAATCAAAAACAATTTACTGCTACAGATTACAGAGCAGCTCCTGTGAACAGTTCCCCATCTCCTGTAGTAAGGGGGATCAGGGGTTAAAAAGACCTTAGAAAAATCAAACAGCACCTGCAACACACTCTTATATAAAGGCCAAGTTTGTAAGTGGTTCATCTCATCCATGCTGCTCAAATGTGAGAGAATTAAATAAGGCGAAAATCTGGTGAATCTTCTCACTTCTTCCTCTTCTTTGTGGAATATAACTTTTCTTCAAGTGGGACTGGGACAATTCCTTCACATTCTTTTACGTCCTGGGTCAGCGGGTGCTTTACAATATTTGGTCTAATCACATCAACATCTCGAGACAAGTGCTCCATCATACTTTCAACAGTTGTTGTTGGTGCATAAAAATCCACCAAGAAATACCTGCAATAAAATACAAATTTGTGAATGCCTGCATTCCAAAACTTAACAATTCTACTATTTTAGTTAATGTTTCCATTTTACTCTTCACAGATAAACTACACACAAACAAACCCTTATCAAAAAGAAAATATTCCCGGGCTCAGTGGCTCAGCCTGTAACCCTGCACTTTGGGAGGCTGAGGTGAGTGGATTGCCTGAGCCCACGGGTTCGAGACCCGCCTGGGCAACTTGGCGAGACCTCATCTCTACAATAAATTAAAAATTAGCTGGACGTGGTAGTGCACGCCTGTAGTTCCAGCTACTTGGAAGGCTGAGGCGGAAGGATCATCGGAGCCCAGCAGGTCAAGGCTGCAGTGGCCGAGGAGCGGCCACTGCACTCCAGTCTGGGCGATAGAGTGAGACTCCAACTCAAAAAAAATAAATAGAAGAAAAAAAAATAAAGAAAATACCAGCTGACCAGCTAAACAGAAGTGCAGTAGTAAGTTCAATCTCCCATTTCCTATGGTCTTTCCCATTATACTCTTATGAAAATATGAGCCCAAACAAAGATTATGGCAGCAAAAAAGCACTGTGAAATTACATAGTGGGAAACACTGTATGGGGAGAATATAGTTGGTAAGAACAAAATTTTCTACCCATCGACAAGACCCAATTTTCTAAACTGTTAGTTGATGCTTTTTTGTGAAAAACTCTAGTCTTCTAATTTTCCAAAGGATTTTACACATTTTACCAAGGGCAACCACATTCTGGGCCATAAAACTAGTCTCAATAAATCTAAAAAGATTCAAGTCATACAGAAAGACCTTAATACACAGACAGTCAGTTCCATAAGCCCCATTTCACAAACAAGGAAAGAGATTAAGAAAGGAATGGGACTTGTCTACGACTACCCTGTAGGTTCAATACTGACAAGGAACAAAAAGAAAACGACTTGAATCTTGGGTAAAAAGGATTTAACATTCATAGACTCAGACCAGACTAATGTCCATGGGCATCTCATACAGTTCACTGCTCTTAAAGATCAAAAACTTCATCAGCTGTCTGTTAGATGACAATACAAAGAAAGATGCATCCTTCTTCTCTACCCACCTCTCCTCTTAGATCTAAAAATTTTAGCCTCCCTTGATTTGGACCATCATGTGGTAAAGGACAGTTTTCAGCATAGTATTTCAAAATTCTGCAATGTTCTAGCTGGGTAAGAACTTTTCAGCATCACTTGCTTTGGTTTCTAGCCACACCATTCTCAGAACTCCCAAGCACAATCTCATCCTACACTGTTGCACTCTTTGTTCTTTTTGCCAGAAATGTTCTTTGTCCAAGTTCCAAACAGCTCATTCCTCATTTCTATAGTCTCTGTTCAAATGTCACCTTCTCAGAGAGGCTGTGACCACTTCTCCTAAAGTAGCACCCTCCTTGACACTCCCACCAAGCCACATCTCTCTCCCTCAGTGCTTTATTCTGTTCCCCACAGCACTTTATCACAACTGGCCCCGTATGTATTTGTTTACTGTCTTTCACTCCACTAAAACCCAACTGCCATTGGAAGGACTCTGTTGTTATCTCTAGCACCCTGAACAAAGACTAACATGGAGCAATGTCCAGTAAATCTTTGAAAGTGGTGGTGTTAGCATCAAATATGGATTCTTATACAAAGCAGGAAAGACCAAACTGAAAAGGAACAAATTCAGCAAGGAAGAAACCTGTGAGAAAAGGTATCTTGTGAAACTCCAGACAGAGAACAAAGAGAATTCACAACTTGTAAGAAAATTTTCTGAGGCCATTTCTTCTCAAAAAGGCTTGTGGAAAAAGCATTTAAGTAAATAAACAATTGAAATGAAAGAACAGAAAAACATATACCAAGCAAAAACACCAATCATAAAGACTGCTCAAGTGGCGACTGTAATATCAGAAAAAGTAGATTTCAGAACAAAGAAAATTACTAGGGATAAATGGAGATAACACATAATGATGAGTTCACCAAGAAGACACAACAATCGCAAATGTCTATGCGCCAGGTAAGAGAGTTTCAACATACAAGTAAGAGCAGAACAGACAATTATTAATCACTGGAACTAACATTAATCACTGGAACTAACTGACATTTCTAGAACTCTTTACCCAAAACAATAAATAGCAGGATATTCTTCGTTAGTCGCACACGGAACATTTACCAAGGGCAACCACATTCTGGGCCATAAAACTAGTCTCAATAAATCTAAAAAGATTCAAGTCATACAGAAAGACCTTTGAAAAATCCCTAAATACTTATAAACTAAACACCCATGTAAATGACCAATGGAAAAACGTGTTGAAGAATAAGTCAAAAGGTAAACTAAGAAGTATTCTGAACTAAATGAAAATGAAAACCCATCAAAACTGTGGGATTGCTACTAAAGCAGTACTTGTCAGGAAATTTAAATGCACTAAATACCTAGGTAAGAAAAGAAAGGCCTCAAACCAATGACCTCAGCTTCTACCTTAAGAAACTGGGAAAGAAGCAAATTAAATCCAGTAAAATGAAAGAAGGGAGGAAGGAAAAAGCAGGTTAAAAAAAAGAGAACATCAATGAAAGCAAACAACAGTTCATTGAAAAGATCAGTAAAATTGACATGCCTCTAGCCAGACTAATCAGTAAAAAGAGACAGATACAAATTACCAGCATCCAGAATGAGAAAGGTGAAATTACTATAGATTTTAAAAATATCAAAAGTATAGTAGGAAATATTATAAACAAATTTTGTAACACATTTGACAACTCAAATGAAATGGTCAAATTCCTTGAAAAACGCAAACTACCAAAGCTCACTCAAGAAGATATAGATAACGTGAGCAGTCCTATATCTAGTCAAGAAATTAAATGTGTCGCTAAAAACCCTCCCTTGGCGAGACCTCATCTCTACAATAAATCAAAAAAAATATTAGCCGGGCATGGTAGCGCGTGCCTATAGTTCCAGCTACTTGGAAGGCTGAGGTGGAAGGATAGCCAGAGCCCAGCAGCTCGAGGCTGCGGTGGCTGGGAGCGGCCACTGCACTCCAGTCTGGGCGACAGAGTGAGACTCCAACTCAAAAAAAAAAAGAAAAGAAAGAAAAACCTATAGCTAACATTTTACCAAATGGTAAAAGTCGGAGTGCTTTCCCCCTAAGTCTGCAAACAATCAACAATCCACTATCACCATTCTGTTCAACACAGCACTGTAGGTTCCTGTCAGTTGAAATACAGCAAGAAAAAATAAATAAAAGGTATCCAGACTGATATGGAAGAAGTAAAACTGTCTTTATTTGCAAATGAGATGATTTTATTTAGAGAAAATATGAAGAAATCTATAAAAAAGATACTAGAATAGTTAAGTTTACCAAGGTTGCAAGACACAAAAATCCATATACAATTTTATTGCTAGCAACAAATAATCAGACCTTGAAATTAGGGATAACTCTGACAACAGGTGTGCAAGACATGTGCACTAAAAGTTACAAAACACTGCTGAAAGATATTAAGGAAAACGTATAGGATATATCTTGTTTATGGGTAGAAAGACTCAAAATTTGAATGGCAACACTCTCCAAACTGATTCAACAGAATCTCAACCAAAATAGCAAATGGATTCTAAAGGTTATATGGAAATACAACAAACTTGCCAAAACAACTCTAATAAAGAATGTAAGTTAAAGAACTAACACCACCCAATTTCAAGACTTACTATACAGCAATAAAGACTGTAAAGATACACAGAGAGATCAAAAGAATAGACAGTCTAAAAATAGAGGTTATAAAATAAAATGGTGTGAGAATAATCTAATATCCTTACACAAAGAAGTGAACTTTACTCCATGCTTGCATCATATCAAAAAACTAACTCAAAATGGAACACATTAAATGTAAAACATAAAGCTATACAAACTTCCAGAAGAAAACAGAAAAAAGTCTTTGTGATCTTGGGTTAAGTAAAGAGTTCTTGGACATAACACTACAAGAAAAATTCATAATAGAAAAATGTGATAAACATCACCAAAATTAAAAACTGCTCTGTGAATAAAAAGACAGGCCTCAAACTAAGATTTGCTGATTATATGTCTGATAAAGGACTTGTATCTAGAATACAAAGAGCTCTAAAAACAATTTAAAAACAAAACAATTTAAAAACATAAGGCATAAGATTTGGACATTTCACCAAATATATACAATGGCAAAGAAGCACGTGAAAAGATGCTTAAAACCATCAGTCATTAGAGAAAATTTTTTAAAATTAAATTAAAACCAAAATGAGACTCCAAATAGAAGGGCTAAAATTAAAAAGACTGACCATACCAAGTGTTAGCAGGGATATAAACTGGCACTCTGAGGTACTGCTAGTGGGAGTTCAAATGATACAACCATTTTGAAAAAGTTTGGCATTTTCTTAAAGAAACATACAACTGCCATTATGATCAAGCTATTCCACTCCTGTGTATTTACCCAAGAAAAATTAAAAGCATGTGTCCACACAGAAATGTGTACACAGATGTTCACAGCAACTTTACCTGTAATAACTCCAAACCAGAAATAACATAAATATCAATGTGTGAAGTGAAAAACATACAATGTCATCATACTACTCATCAATAAAAAGAGTAAACTACTGATATACACTATTGATGAATAAAAAAATAACTAAGTCAAGTGAAAGAAACTAGAGTTAAGAGTACACGCTATCTGATTCTATCTATGGAAGATTCTAAAAAATACAGATGTTTCTCAACTTACAATGCACGTCCCGAAAAACAATATCATTAAGTCAAAAACGCATTTAATTCAACTAACCTAACAATACTTAGCCAAGCCTTACAAGCTCAGAACACTTACATTAGCCTACAGTTGGACAAATTCATTTAACACAATGCCTATTTTATAATAAAGCGTTGAATATCCCATGTAATGTTATTAAATACTCTACTGCAAGTAAAAAATAGAATGGCTGTGTGGGTACTCAAGCATGGTTTCTACTGAACATGTATTGCTTTTGC